AAATCGACTGCTCCCGAACTTAATATCAAAGAGCACATCCCATCTATCAGTGAACTCATTAGTTTTCTGCACCAAGAACATCACAAGGATTTGCGTGGGAACCTTGTGCATGGTTCGAGCTCAACGTGGTCTTCGACGGATCATGGACCACTGCGAGGTTATCTGAAAGGCTGGTTGGAAGTGGTCTTGCAGATTCAGAACTACCGTTCTCAGAAAGCAATCTGTCAATGACCCGATGGCAGCTTCAGGGTGGAACGATTACCGCAGGCCTTCTTGATCTCAACGGTGATGGAAAACCACGTCATATTTCGAAGACGGACATCTAAGGAATATTTTGCCGTAAAACTTTCATCAACATCGGCACTCTGTGCGAAGAAAAGTTTTGATGATGTGCGCCATGGGCAAAGTGTCTCTTTTTTTGGCCACCCCTGTACGCACGGCCGAATTCGTTTTGTAGCAAAAGCAGTTTTTACAACTTCGCAAGCAGAACAAGTCGCACGTAGAGGCGTGCTCTGCTCGGTACATGAGAGACCTGTGTAATATTGTTGCCTTGGATACCACTCATTGGAGAACGTGGTGCGGCGCAAGGCGAGTCCTAGCAGTGCAATACTGGAGGAGCGAATGATTTGGGCCAGTTGTTCCATAATAAGAGCTTTGATTTAAAACCAAACGAGAAGCAAAATGGAAAACGAACTTGGTGATGTTGTGACGGGGCATACCGAATCCAGTCATGCCGGACTGATTGGCGAATCGGTTGGTTCCCATTTGAAGATGGATGAAGCCTTGTGATTCTCGGTCCTGCTCCTCGGCCTTGCGAACTGCAATTAGGGGTATTAGGCATGACACACACTAGGGAAATTCCACTAGAGCAAAGTTACCATCTACGATACGCGGCATTCCGATTCCAGTCATACCGGCTTGAGAGGCGAGTTTATTTGTTCCGGATTGGAGGGGCACAATACCATCAGAGGCACGAGCCTAAACACAGCAAATCTCAGATTCGATGAACACAAATATTCTGATCATGATGGGAGACGCAAAGATTCGCGGGATATCCCTTCATAGGGAAGGAGAGATGCAACTTCAGCGGAGTTCTAGTTCTTATGCACATGGATCGGTACCAATCTACTGCATCCGTGCTGACTACGGCTTGGGTTGGCCGGGCGCTTTGGATCGTGTTCTTAAAACGCTTTAAAAGGTGAATGAGAGGTTACGCGCCACTGATAGATCACCGATTGCGACTGGGCAATCGATAATATGGTTGATCCTTTCAGATGGTCGGAAACTGAGGCTGTTCAAGTCCACTCCAGGCTCCTGCTCATTTACCTTCTCTTCGGATACCTCACTGGCACCACCGGTTCCTTTCGTTTTGTAGTTGACATCTCGAGGTGATCCGAAGCCTAAAACAAATTAGTAAGCTAATCGTTGCACTTGAACAGGAAATATGACACTAGGAGAGAGAACAACTTACCGGTTTGTCCCTTCTGGGAGGCAAATTTGTTGGTACCGGACTGAAGCCAGGTGGAAGCCTTCAGAGCTTCAATCTTTTTCTCATCGGTGATTTCGGCCAGATTGTCGGACTTGATTTTGTCAATGACGTCACGAGGCACTCCGAATCCTAAAAGGGCTATTGCTTATATTTTATGAGTCAGGTCCTGTCAGAGGCACAGTTTAAAAGTCCAATGGATCTTGGTCCCGAGTAGGGTGAACAGTTTATGGCCCCTCTCTGATGACTTAGCTCAGCATTGATTGGACGCTGCTGTCATCGCGCCCTTTGCCCCTGTTACTTTTCCTACAGCGATAATGGGATTAAGATAGGAGGCACTTGAACGACGTAAACAGAAGCAGTGCGAAGTTCATTTGTTGTCTACCCAGGTCACCTTAGATCCGTTTATGGTGAACCTTGCTCTCATCGTTTTATAGTTGATCAAAGTGCACTTTATGGAGTGTAGGCTGTCTTCGCAAGCCATTCCCTTTACCAGAAACCTCAAAGGTTGTTACTATCAGCGAAACGCAGTCCTTAGGTTAACAACAGAGCCTGAGAAGAGGGGTATGAATGGATCATTGCAGGTAATTTAGTACAATTGTGTTCCCTCGCGTAACGGCTCTCGTATCTGTACAGCGTGAGACTTTTAGTGGTTCAATTAATGAGAAGCCATAACTAATTATAGCCTCAATGTTCGTGTCGCAAGATTTTTTATTGAAGCGTTAGATTATACTAAAATGCGCCGGCGTTAGAAAGAAATTCCTACTGAACTCGCAATGCCAGCCCACATAATCCTATCTAATCCGACTTGACATGGTATAATCGATTAAGTTTGATTCATTATAGCCAAGACACAGTAACCCAAAGCACCACAAGTCACTATATGTGAGTTTGAGCTTCAAGAATATTATGATTTGGACACAGAAGTGGACGGAATGTTTGTAAGGTTCACCAGTGAAACGGCATTTCACTTGTAACAATTGTGATTTTTGGAATGATGTATCTCTGTTCCTTACTTAGTATATAACTTTTGTCGACTTGTTTCATAGATTGTTTTTCGAGTAATTTCAACGTGAAGAATCCAGAGAAGCAGTTTATTTTACTTAACATATTGTCAAGTTTCTCCCTACCCTCAATCCAACACATCGAATTTTCAAAAGAGAGGGAAACTCCCGACATTACGTGCATGACGAGGTATTGACATGAAACCTCCCCATTCAGTCAACACCCATTCACAGATGAGCCTCTGGTTTAGATGTGCATTCCACAGTAAGGTTGGGAGGTCGAGAAGGGGGAAAATATACCTCCTAGAGGAAAGGCACGGCGAGCCCACTGAGGGTGCGAGACGATGCTCGTTTCGCAGCAAAGTGTAGTAAACCTAGTGGCACAAGCAGCAGGGTCAACCCTACCGCTGGTACTTTTAAGATTTTCACGACCCCCCCCCTTTGTATGTATGCATGTGGTACAGGCATCATCCCACCCGTACTGATCCCCTTTTTGAATGTACTGAATCGCGCTCATTAGGGCCCGACAATAGGACGTGTTAGCTGACCGTAAGCAGGCGACGAACGAGAATTTCAGACGAACTTTTTGTTGCATAATTTCAGCTTCTCCGGAAGAAGGGGGTTTTGGCCATCACACGCAGGCTCAGCCGTTAACTAACATAAAGACTTATCGGTTCACCGATAATTCGAAATGAAGTAAGTATTTAGACAAGAAAATAAACACATGCCACTTTACAATTTTTATCCTTCCTCTTGTCTAACGGGCCCTCCCCCCGCATCTCCCAGACCCCACACGCCCGCTATAATTCTCTCATATTTAGCTTTTGCGCCGAAGTTATTTGATTTCAAAAATTCAAATCATCCTAGTTTAAGTTTGACTTTATGTTCATTACGTCTGCATAAGGCACACGTTAAATACAAAACAACACCAATAAGGAACTAACCAACATAAACACATAAACATTGATCCACTTAGCGATGCACTAGATAGGAAACACAAATTAACTGTTTAACCCCTTCATAAAATTTAAATGTGGCGTAATTGGGCCATTTTGACCCTTGTCACGTATTGTGTTCCCAAAATCCCGGAGCTTTGTTGTTACAAGTGAAATGCCGAGGCCTCGAACAGATTCAAAAGTGCAGAAAGTGTTATCCTACTCTCCAAATTCATGTCCCCCAAATTTTCTGGGCGAAGTTGATTTATTGTAAAAAATGCAGCAACGTATTTTTTTCTGTGCAAATGTGACTTTTCAACTTTTGAAGTATCACCACTTTGTTCAAAATCATAGATTTCGAAAGCTGAACTCAGTGTGACAAAATTCAGGAATCCAAGTTTTCTAAAAAGTACCTTAACGTTCCTGAAAAGTCAGCAGTTTAAAAATTAGTCCCGTTGGACTTTTTTGGAGGACCATTCTTCAAGCCATTTTCTTGAAAACGCGGGTTTTTTTTAGGTTTCACTGGCCGTAACTCCCAGGGAAAGCAATTTCAATGTGAACATAGGATGTGTTAGAAAGCTTTGAGCATGCACTTGCACAGACATCTCCTGCCTTGGTGTGCGCCACGCCTTGGCCACGCTTCGCCTGCCAACGAGATAGTACGACCCCCTCCCCCTACAAGCTGAACCAGAAACGACCCCCCCCCCTTTGTACTTGTACCAACATAGGTTTGACCCTGCCCTGCAGGGCCTGACCTCATAAACTTCTGCAGGGGCTCTGCCGAAATGGTAACCCATCTATGCCGCCTGGCCTTAGCCTACCAGGAGAGGCAGCGTTGGCAATGAAGAGGACAGCACCTATGAAAGCCGCATCAATGCAGAAATCAACGAGCAAAGAAGCGGTCCCATTTCTCAGGTTCTCGGCCGTTTTGCATAGTTTTTTTCTTGTCTTGACACCATTGACCACCTCTCCTTGATTTCTGGTGGCTGCCTTTTCTTCGTAGGCTCCGCGTTTAATAAGCGAAATGAGCAACATTACATAAATGCAACAGAGATACTAGCATTCGTCGCCAGCTATATACGTCATTGTTTGTGCCATATTCCATTTATGTGAATAAAACTTTCTCCCTCATACTGCAGAATGATCCTGGCTACTCTGAGAGAGTTCGTTCCAAAAACGCTGCAGTGAATGGCTCGTTTCAAGCATCAAAGTGAGACCACTCACCGGTCATTCCCTTCTGGGAGGCATACTTGTTCGATCCAGCCTGAATCGGGATGATTCCTTCGGAGCGCATGAGCTTGTTCTTGTCGTGCTTCGATGGCTTACCGGCAGAATATTGTTGTTAAGTGGCCTTGAAATCAAATGTTAAGGGAACATTTTCCATTTTCATGATATTGCTTTTAACTGAAACTTCTTGTAAGTTCAGACTGAGCACTTTTTCTTCACAGATAAAGCGTCGAGCTGATCAAGTTCTTTTTGGATGGCCATTGCTAACCTAATCAGATCCTGCTTAGTGGCATTGTGAATGCACTTTGAGCCGCTTACGATGTTAGCAGATAGTGACCAGACGAAATGCGCAAGTGCCGCAGTTTTGGCTTAGCTCAGAAAACCCTGAGTACAAGTAACACCGACTTGGAGAGATGGAAAGCCTGGTCATCGGTCTGGGAATAGTCGACGTGGGATTTGAATTTCGCACAAGTAGCTAGCAAGGTTACGCCACTTCCGGGTCCAGGTTTGCCACCTTTGCCACCTTTGGTTTATAAGGTGGAAATTGTCTGTTACTGCGAAAATTTCGCTAGTCAATTTCGGGAAGTAACCAACGGAAACGTTTTCTAGCCGTTCGCATCATATAGTACGCATCCCAGAAAAAATCAATAAATAGGCTGAGACAAGATTAGGGTATCCCAGAAGTTCCATGAGATTTGCACAGCAACTAACTAATACAATGCACGCAACAGAGCATCCCGAAAGATCGCGTCTGCAGCTGGTCGGCATTTTAGTTCGTAATTGGCACTGTGGGAACCCTGGTCGAATTATTTGCTATAACACCGCCATCAACGTCTTCTGTTTCCCTGTTGCCGTTCTGGACGTTCTGCCATTCAAGCAAGAATGAGACGGGCTCTTCAATGGACAACAGTGCACCTCGCCTGGAGCCTGTCATGAGTCGTACGATCACTCCTTCAGAGTTTCACCTCGACGAAATTCCGCGGAGCGGATGTTCTCGTTCTCTTTATAGCGTCTTTGTATTATTGTTCCAGCCGCCGCCCAAAGCAATCCCGCCTAACCTTCAAGGGCAATGTAAAGAACCACGCCTAATTCCCATTCCATCACCTAAAGATTTCCAGAAGAGCTCTCTCTGGCACGGCTTTATTTGGAATTATCCCTCAGTTTTCAATGAAAGCAGGCGTCGAGTAAGAGAACATGAGTTGCAGAAGCTTCTCGAATGTGAACGAAACGCAATTTGGGCAAACTTCGATACCACTCAGATAAAGAGTGAACATCATATCAGAATCTGAAAAAAAGTTATCGACTTCCAGCCGACGTGAGGCCCCGGACCATTCCTAAGAAAGGCTCCACACGTTTCACACCAAGAAGGAGAAGATTTCACTCTTCTTCTACTTCATCGGGCGCATCTGTTATGACATTATTCGCGAGGTGCTCCTGAGACAGCAAAAGCGTTCTGTGGACAAGTGCGAGAGAATATGTCCAAAATCCCCAAGTCCCACCAGTTCCTGAGATAGTTTTAACACCGTGATCAACAATGTTCGACTTCATAGGCGGACGTCGGTGGAGCAGCTGGAAAGCAGGGTCAACCGTCACGTTGGACAAATTTCAAAAATTTTACGACCACCCCCTTTCTAGAGAGCCTCGATACGACCCCCCAGCCCAACTCCACCCACATTTCCTCCAAAATAGCCGTCGAGCGGGATATATATCAACAGTGAAACGGCAATTTTTTTCTTAGCACTCACAAAGCGTAAAGCGTCACACTACGACCCCCGTTGGTGTAGGATTGACGCTGCCTCCGACCTTGCGAATACGACCCCCCTCTTTTCGTCGCCAGGGCCAACCGTCCGTCCAGCAGGGTCAACCGGTCCGCCTCGGCTGATAGACCTCCCCTTGTTTGGCTTGTCCAACGGCCGGTTAACCTTGGGTGGGAGTTTTCGGCTCACCTTGAAAAGTTGCGCATACTTCTAGGGTAGGAAGACGTGAAGACCTTCAGTTGTTCTTCTTCGGATGGTGCCATGCACTTGAACCTTATCCGGAGTCAAAATAAGTCTGAAATGCATATTTCCCCTGTACAGTGATTGCGCGACGACACAAGCTTGAAAGAAACTCGTCTGTTTTTGTTCCTCAGAAAACACAATGAACAATAATAACGTATATTGTGCCTGATGACCTATTCAACACCCGACTCGGCTCCCGACGCAGACCGTGAAGTGGCATCGAGCCAACTTCCACTCTGTCACTGCTCCACCTTTGCTCCTTACTTTGAACCAAAAAACCGAAATAAAAAAAACGAAATTTCCTGTTTCAGCAAATATTTTTCAACCACATTAATGGCTCTCGTGATTCACACGTAATAGAGTCAAGCATTGGCTAATGTAGCCTTGTATGATAACGGTAGATCCTTTTTCCCATTTGTAAATTTATTTCATTTTGGTCGACATTCTCGTTAGGTCCACGTAAGGGGTATATTGGTGCGAAATGGGCCGGCAGTAAAGAAAAAGGAAAAGAATCCGTCAAAACGCTTGGTTAAGGGCTCACTCACCTTCCTAATCGGCTGTGCTAAGGGAATGAGAGACTAAGCGCGGAGAGGAGAGTATGAGGCGAGAGAGCGCAACAGATGAGAGGGCGCCAGACAACAGCCTGATAAAAGAAAAAAATTGCAGCTGCAGCAGCTTACTTTGCAAGGCCCAGCGCTTTTGTCGGTTGATTTCCGTGCACAGGATTCCACATCTGTTTGTCCTTCAGAGTTCTATCCTATAGACCGATGGGAATCGTTCTCACGATTCCCACATGGGTTGTGCCTTTAACCTGGACAAGCGCAAAAGTGACCAAATTCCCATGACTGAAGCTTCCATTCCTCTTATTCATGCTATCTAGACTAACGGAAGTCAGGGAGCAGCCGTGGAGTAGTCGAAAAGAACGAAATATTATGAGTTACTTCATGGGACTTGAAGAGAGATGACACTCTTGCGATCCGCATTCCATCATCAGAATTCTTCGGCTTTCATGCCTTCAAATGTGCGAGTTTTTATTTTTAGCTATCATTAGATCGTCCGTATTTTCAGCGAATTTCTTTCTTTGCAACCCTCCATCAATCACTACATCACAATGCGCTGGGGATTCGAAGCAGAATGAATCAGAGGCGAACAAGAAACACGAGCATTTCACAGCTTTTCTCTGTATAAGCTGTCGTTCTGTTGTATCCGGAATAGCGCACCTACGCGTGCATCCAACAAATAAATAAACAAATAAACATGTAAGCAGAAATGAAATATCGATTCTGAATATG